ATGTTATTAAGATTATTACTCTTTTTTTTTAGTTTGCAATGATTAATGTTTATGGTGATTTTTTATTATTGATTGATGTATTCTAAAATAAAGAATATGTCGAGATACTGCAATGCGGCTAATGCTAAACCTGCTGGTTGGCCGCCAGCGCTAGTTTGCGCTGGCATGCATGCTTCAGGCGGATTTCCATCTCGCCAACGCGAATGCGTCTGGAAGGGCCAGATGTGAATATTATTTCGAGTTACAGATAGAAGATAGAAATTTACATGTGCCGATATTGGTAGTTGGCACTAAAGCAGACCTCGTAAAGCAAGAATTAACCGGTGGACAAAGACGATACAGCATTGTTGATGAATATGGGTTAACGTGGTAGGTGAGAACAAAAGATTAATCATATTGTTAGATTATCTCCATATAAAAGAACATGAATTTTTTCATATTAATAACTCTTTATATAGTGTACATTAGCACAACGCATTTTGCACGAGGTTCAATAGCTGTCGAGAAGATCAACGCGTTTTTCGAAAAGGTGATTGACAAGAAATTTCAGAGTCCAGCGTTTGAACCAATAGGGAAAGTTCAATCTGATGAATTAGATTTCAGCTGGTTCACGTTAAATGATTTTTTTGGATCTGGCAGGCCATGAGTTTCAGAATAAAATGCAAGCTAGTGTAGGTAAAAGCGAGAATGGCAAAAGCAAGTAAAAAAATGGATGAGAACAAATCCTGCAAGAGTATAATGAGAGACAAAAAACAAATGAAATGAGCGAGAGATGTTCCCTCTTTCGAACTTTCCTCTCGAAATCACCAATTCTTATTTTTCACGCCGCAAATAATTCCGAAACTTCCCAATTCCTCATATCTTATTATTCTTCCTTTCGAACGTATACAGAACGATATCACTCTCCCAACACTAGTCACGAACCAAAAATTTGTACCGTGACAGTATATTTATATTCAAAATATAAAGAGGTTTTTATAATTATTAAACGCTAGAACGAAACGAAACGCGATTTCATTAAGTGACTCTCGCATGGATTTTGGAAGGATTCGAACCCTCATTCCAATTAGGAATCACCAGAGCAAAATCCCAATT